CGAAAAACTGAGAACAACCTACAACCTGTGTGAATGGAAACAATTATCTCTGAGAAGCTGCAGGGTAAATCTCACCTGCAAAATTGCACTATATGTAACGTCATAAAATAGACACCATGTGCGCAAGACCGACCGTAATGTCAAGTGATCACTTTCACAGAATTTGAAATCAACGAAGGATAACGAATTAAAACGTCAGGTGTAACACTGAACAAACATAGCAACTCATGTGCAAATCGGTGACGTAATACTTAAATTTCTAAAAGCTCTCTAAGAAGGATGAAACACTTTGGAGTGAACCAAGAAACTGCTTGAACTTTCGGCTAAGTGCCGCATAATGTCACTACTAATACACGTGATTCTTGCCTTCTTCAGCAACTTCATGCATAAAAAATGACACTATAAGACAATCGCTCAGATTCCTCTCCTACCAACGCAGATCAAACAATAAAGAATTCGTTTAAAACAGACAGCTACTTCTGTCGTGAACAGGGCTGATGAAATTGGTGAAAAGATTACTGCTAGCCCTGAATGTTTAATAACCAAAGACTTTGCTGCATAAGGTTCCAGAATAATCGTTACGATGAACGGACAAACAGGTTCAGCTGATGAAAACGAAGCTGCAAGGCCTCTTGCATCGTCGACGAATCGTTCCTTATGATCCGCTGCTGCTCTAACAAGATTTAGGTTTGCCAAGCCATTTAATGGCCGCTTCTGAAGAACTGTTCTTCGGCTGCATTTTGTCCACGCTTTGGTTAACCGTCCCATACTCGCGTTTAAAACAGCCAGTGCACTTCCATCTTGCATGCAGTATTCCAGGTAATATGTATATTCGTATCAAGTTATTATTAAGTAAATGGATGGTCATAATTATGGCAGTCCAAATCAAAACAAAATTGTCGGATAGGCCCACATAACTGAGACCGTTGCTCAGAAACATTGTCGAGTCACAAAACTTTCCTTAGCCATCATCAGTGCTCATCACTTTCGTCGCTAAAATTTAGGTATCTCTTTGACATAGCTATAGCATGAAATTATGCGGTTTGTCAGTGACTTTTGAACTCTTACAGGTGTGCGTGCTCCTTGGTGCAGACTTCGTGGAATATGACTGCTTGATATGAGAAATTTACGATGCTGGAGTGAATAGCACATCTCTTGTGATCGCTCGCATTAAAGTTCAGTAGGGTATTCACTCAGCTTGTGTGATCAACCCTTCGCTACGTAAACAAACTGGGACAAATGTTTCCGTAATGGAAAGTAAGGACGCACAGCGAAATGAACAGCACGCTACCTTTTGCACTCTGAGTGATGCCAGTATTCTAATATATTCTATTAACCCGGGACTTTGCTTCGGCTGCAACCTTTTGAGATGAAGATCGAGTTTAAGAGTGATAAGAAACATTTACTGAAAAGCGAATATTTCTAACAATGGAAGA